AACAGAACAAGCCACGAGTCATACATGGAGAAATTTGAATACTTCACTTCTATCTACTTGAAGCTTGTTCGGATGACGTTGTTCAGAGGAATACTGGAAGCTCCACAACCTGCACATGCAGCTTGGAGAATGAAACTCTATCTGAGCGACAAATTTTCTCCACCATCTCATTCTCTCTCTCTCTCTACATATATATATATATATATATCAGTTAGTCATGATGATGTTGTTCAGTAAACGAACAATAATAATCTTCACAGCTAAAACATCCAGCTCAGAGAACGAAGCTCCACCACATAGATTGAAATTGTTTATTTGTTTTACTAATCTATCAATCAATCATATTCAGTTGTCATTTTTCTTTCATTGAATAATAAAAAGAGTTTTTTCTGGTTAACGTTTTCTTAAGTGATAGGGTTGTCAACCCTATGCCCAACCGTCCTCCTTTATTCGGGCTTTGGACCTGGAAGTAGCCCTAGAGGGGCTCCAGGCGGAGTTATTACTTACTTTGGGGGATATTCTTTATTTTTATGATTATTTCAATCTATTTTTTGATCTAGCTACCAAACAATCGAATAATCAATCATACAAACCAACGTTTACTAATCAAACGATTCAATTACGCTTAGAAAAGGAATGCAGACATTTGTTAGAAAATATTGCAATAAATAAAGTAAGTTTTGATTAGATTTGTCATTTCTACAGTATTTCGAGTAATTTATATTGATTTTTTTCTGAATCAATTAATGTTAGACAACCTGGAAGCACTTGACTGCCGTTCCGTCCTGGTACAGGACTCATCAGCAATGCGCCTCCACGACTACTGTATCGCGCAGGTTTCGAACCCAGGACGTTCGGTCTTGAGCGCGAAAGCATAACCTGAACCGATATCTAATGGTGTTAATGTCTAACTCCGATCAATTAACTGCCTTGCTCGACCTCATACACTATTTTCAATGAGCACTGCTTCACATTCAACAGGGTTGAATTCCACTGGTTACGACTTCTCACTAGGAATCGGATGTTGGGGATGTTAGATCTCCAAAACTCACTTGATAAATGCCTTATTTTGGTTTCCACGTTTGCCAGCATGGGTTGATCAGTTGACAATGAGATTTCATTTCCCACCAGCAAAATCCATGGCAGTGATTGGCTGCTGTGTATTTTAGTGTGCTATTTTCGTAACTGTCCCAAGGACGTTTCTATGATGTATAAATAAACGAGAGTTGTGTGCTTGATTGTACTGTGATTGCTGGGTGTTTTTAGAGTATGCTTTCTACGCTTACAAAGACTTCTGTTTTACAGCTTGAGATTCAAGGTAACCTACCTGGACGCTGGTAAAAGTCTCGTTCTCGTTTATCGACTAAATTAAACTCGTAATATCCTCGAACATTCTAAGTGACGAACACAATATCGGGGGAGATTCCTCACGGAGCTAGTAATTTTTATTTATTGATTGATTGAATACGAAAACACTATGAGTTTAACAAACAAAACGTTTTCAATTATTATCATTATTACATGAAACCCAATATAAAAATACTGTTTCTTGTTAATCTGCAATACGTTTAAAATATCATCTCCCTATAAATGAACTGTTTTAAATATTGATTAATCGTAAATTAGTGATTGAAAGTAGTTGACAAAAGACCCTCGATCCAGGTTTCGTGTTAGTTGGCACCTGTCAGCAAAGTGTGTCTGTAGTCTTGAAAAAAATGAGCTCACTGACAGACTCAATCTCCTATCACTCATCTTCAAGGTTAGAAACTTTATCACTAAATTTTAGTTACTTCAAGATTACTGATACACCTAATTGACGAGTGCCAAATAGCACGAAACCTAAATCAACAGTCTGCTGTCGAGCCACTTAAACTAGTGACCTTACTCTTACGTGATCGTTAGGAATCTTTCAACACTAAGCAATATTTTACAACTTAGTATTGGTTCCTACTCATTGATCAATCATTTTTAAACCTGATAATTGTTTTCAAACACTAATTAACATTTCAATGTTGATTAATTAAGTTAACAAATGGTTCATATGATATCTGACGAAAGAAATTTGCTTTGATCAGTTTACGAAATGATTAATCAATCAATTAACAAAACAGGTAGATAATATGAATGAGGAATATTATTTTTTTCAATAAATTCTTTTCTGATTCGAAAATTATAGACAGAGACAGATACAAAGCAGAACTTCGTACGTAAGTACATCAGTTCAGGTTGCCATACCACATCAGCACAGAGACGCAACTGTCAGAGTGATAGCGATAGTAGAAGTATTAGCAGCAGTAAAGAAGATTAGGGAGCGAAGATATGATTAGAAATGTATAATTCAGTGAAATATATTTAGAAGGAGAAAGATAAAGATTATGAAGAATGCAGAAGGTTAGAATTAAAAGTACACAAAGAGTGGATGCACCTGCACCATTGCAAACGATTCTGAGCCATGTCGTTCAAGTTCTCTAACCACTGGTGACTTTCGTCCCGCCGACCCCAACCAGGTAGTCTACATCTACCAACATGACTCAGTCCACTTGTCAGTGACTTCATGCATTTCTGCCATGTTTTGGTTTGGCCTACTCTAGCTTTCTTCCAACCTACTCCTACACCACAAAACAAAGCTTGTCGCGGCAGTCGGTGGTTAGGCATACGTAACACATGTCCCAACCACCTGAACTGATGAAGTTTCACCACTTCATCTATTGATTTGCCATACTAATACTCATTTCCTAACGGTAGCATTGCTTATACGATTGTCCCAGGATACACGAGCAGTGCTTCGTAGACACCGATGATGGAAGACTAATAACCTACAAATGTCCTCTACTCTTAACGGCCAATTCTCGCATCCATATGGGAGAACGGAGCAAACTGCTGCGCAGTACACTTGTCCTTTAGTTAGCGAACGGATATCTCGCCCACGCCATAAACTGCGAAAATTGGCAAAAGCAAACCGAGCTTTCTGTATCCGAGCTGAGATTTTGTCAGTCACCAGGACATCAGCACTAATGAGACTCCCCAGATACGTGAAGTGGTCTACACGTTCGACTACTTCACTCCCTATCTCTAGTTCAGATGCCGATGCAACCCAATCCTGAAGCAACATTTTGCATTTCGACGGGTAGAAATGCATCCCGAACATGCTTGCATTGTTGCTTAGGCTAGTCACAAATCTCTGCATTTTGTCAGCGTCTTCACCGAATAGAACTATCTCATCAGCATATTCTAGGTCAATAAGTGATTTTTCTGCTAGAAAGTCGACTCCTAAAAATTTGGTCGGGTTCGAAAATTATACATCCAAATTAAATGAGATTAAAAGTGACTAGCATTAAAGAAAGTATATTGTTTCTAATTACAGTATATGTGAATTTAGGATTATTCGTAAAATGAAATCAAATTGTTATTATTGTAAACCTGTATAAGTTTCAATGTTCAATGAAATTCTGACATTATTGATCACAATCAAAATGTGTAACGTAGGGTAATAATAATAATAATAATAATAATAATCCTATATAGTAACGCTTATCATGTACTCACTAGTGACTAAGTTTGAGAGGTGATTTCAGTAGTTCTAGTGAGAACTCGTGACCAAAGGAGTTCAACTATATTAGTTGACCACTGAAGACAATAGAAGATTATTGCATAATATCATGGATTAACTTGGAGTTAAAGTTTTGAATGCTGGCTCAATGGTCTGGGGATTTGTTGGGGATGTTAGATCGGCAAAAATCGCTTGATAAATGCCTTAGTTTGGATTTCACATTTGCGAGCATGTGCTGACCAGTTGACCTTGAGATTTCATTTCCCACCAGCAACATCCATGGCTGTGATTGGCTGCTGTGTATTTTGGTGTGCTATTTTAATGACTGTCCTAAGGACGTTTCTATTGTGTATAAATAAACGAGAGTTGTGTGCTTGATTGTATTGTGATTGCTGGGTGTTTGTAGAATATACATTCTAAGCATACAAAGCCTTCTGTCTTCAGCTTGGGATTCAAGGTAGCGTATCTGGACGCTGATAATTGTCTCGTTCGCGTTTATCGACTAAGGTGAACTCGTACTAGCTGCAAGCATACCTAGTGATGAACATATCAGGCTTAAGCGCTCCTGCATATGACCGAACTTCCTAGGACTGGTATCCGATCGTGTAGTCTTGGATGCACACTATTAATGAGCCTTATAGAAGAATGACACGGCTGTCTACTGGTTGAAGTTAGCCAAGGTAGAAGAAGCGGTCGACCTAAATATGCATTATCTGTAAAGCTTATTATTCAGTTGCATCCGTCCTTCATTCCTTCTGTACTCGACCCCATCAACAACAATTTCATCTAAACAGTGTTGTGTTCTGATACATATTGAAGATTTAGGAACAGTATTTGGGGTCGTATCATAATATCTGAATTTGATCAGTCGGTAGAATTTCGAATAGCCGCTACATAACAGCATTATAACAGTAAAACATTTGCCTTTGCTACAAATCTTATCAATGTTCAAAAATCAATTCATTCCTCTTTAAATAAAAATAAATGACAGACATTCTTTACTAAAAATACAACCATTTACGTCAAATATATAATTATCAACACAGCAATACACTTGACATTGTAAATATATGTCTGCATTTTTATTTCGTCTCTGGGAGTAAAATCTAGTAAAGAAATTGATTGATATACACTGATTTATGCCTGATTTTGTAATTAGTGTTCCCTGGTTAACGTGAATATTCATGCTGGGCTCCATTGAAAGTATCTGAGTGTGTGTGTGTGTGTGTGTGTGTGTGTGTGTGGGTTTGTGTGTTTCATTAAATAATGATAAAAACTTTGATATAAATAGATACAGTTTGGTGGGGTTTTTTTGTGTTATTTTGGCGAAAAAAATTTTTTGTTTGAATGACAGACTACATGTTAACATAACATGATGTTAAATTTAAAAGTTATTGACTAAATGGAATTTTTTAATCTCTGTGTGTAAAAATAAGTTATCGAAATTTTCATTATAGAAGAGTTATGGAGAAATAGGTGAGTTTCATTGAAGTTATGAATCGATCGTCCTAGTATAGGACTTATCAGCAAAATGCCCACACTAGTGACTAGTTTCGTGAGGCAATTCTTAGAGTTCTAGTGAGAAGTCATGACTAGTAAAGTTCAACCCTAAGGAGTGTGGGTAGCTAGATATTGATACTATTGGATGCTGATTCAGAGTGGTGTAAAGGTTAAGCGTTCGCTTATGATACCGAAGGTCTTGGGTTTGATTCTGTTAGGATATTCATCCAATATCCTGAGAGAATTATTGGTCTATTCCTATTGATTAATCCCTACTGGTCAAAATTATGGTCGTTTTAACTGTCAAAGTCAAATACTTCAATGTTGTCTCTTATTGGTTGTCCTGACTATCAATGTCACTACAAATGTTACTTCCTATTGGTCGTCTTAACTGTCAATGCTACAGAATTCGATGCTGTTTCCTATTCGACCAAAATGTATAAATACGCATTATCTGTAACGTTTTATGACCAGGACCAGGGTTCGGTCCCGGATCCCTAGTCCGGGATCCTGATCCTCTTCTGGATTCGGACCTCGTACTTTCTGGATGCTTGTAGAATACAGGTTCTACTTCATATTAAGTCTTGTCTTATTTTTACTAAATATGGGGTTGGGATAATCGGACTAGACTAGCCTCGATCATCGCCCTCGTTTTCCGACTCGGTAAACTCGTAATAGTTCAAGTATATCACGTTAACGTGTTTACGTGCAGCCGTAACATATTCCCTCGAGCGAAGATCGTGAATACACGGTAGTAATGAGTTCTATACTAGAACTTAACGGCCATCCATCACTTTCAGGTTTCTTATAGTGGTTCAAACGTGATTAACCCATCATTTCAATGATATTCACTGTTTTTCGAATGACAACATGTTGAGTTACAAGTGTAATTTAAAAATAAATAAGTAATATTTTCATTGAATTAATAATTGAACAAATTAGTCTGTTATATTGAAAACATTATCAAGTGTTAACTAAGGAAGAGAAAAAAATGGTTTACTTCTCTAGGAGTTAGATTTTCAAAGATTATCAAATAGATATTTATTTCATCCTAATTTTCATTATGATGGGTTTTCGTTGTCTGAGCTGAATGTCTTGGTTGTGGAGCTTTCATTGTACTTCTGTTGAACAATATCATCGGCACAAACTTCAGGTAGATGGAAGTGAAGTCAATCAGCAATCAACGCACACATCCAATTTCATCCAATTTATCAACCAATCAGGAAAATCAAAAGCACACATAGTAGGATCAGGAAATAGAACGAAGGGGGATTCACTTAAAATAAAGATGCAAAGAACGACAGGTTTAAGTTAGTTATGCTCGTCAATTGATATGCTTGAAACTATTATGAGTTAACCTTAGTCGGTAAATGAGAGCTAAGACAAATGATCCAGTGACGCGATAGGCTACTCTAATCTAAGCGTCCCAAGGCCCCACTAATCAGAGGAAGAAGAATTCTTGATAAGACATAGAAAGTGTATTCTACAAGAATCCAGAAAATTGAGGTTGTCAAGCACACAAATCGAGTTTATTTATACATCACAGAAACGTCCTTGGGAGAACCATAAAAATAGCCTACTAAAATAATACATCAACCAATAACAGTCAAGGATTTTCCGGGTGGGAAATGTAATCTCAAGGTCAACTGACCAGCCTATGTGTGATAACACAAAAATGAGATGGTGGAGAAGATTTGTAGCTCAAGTGGATGATTGTGGTGGTGGTGTTTGGTTCTCTGAGCTGGGTGTTTTGGTTGTGGAGCTTTCAGATAGAAGTTCTATCTGAAGTTTGTGCTGATGATGTTGTTCAGAATAACAATGAAAGCTCCACAACCAAAACACCTAGCTCAGAGAACCAAACACCACCACCACGAAAACATAAAATCCGAAATTAAGACCTTTATCAAGTGAGTTCTGGGGATCTAACGTCCCTAACAAAGGTCAATAGCAACCAATCAAGATTGAGGTTAACAGAACAAGCTACGGGTCAGACATGGGGAATTTCGAATAATTCACTTCGTCTATCTGAAGTTTGTGCTGACGATATTGTTCAGTAGAAGAGCAATGACAGCTCCAAAACCAAAACATCCAGTTCAGAGAACGAAACCCCATCAAAATCGTACACCTAAGCTACAGATTTTCTCAACCATCTCAAAATCATAAGTTTTAATTCTACAAATGTGTTAGCTTTTAATTTCTGATAAAATTACTGGTTAGTATAATAGTCAGTTGGAAGAAAACTAGAGCTGAATACATCAAAATTGAATATCATTGCATGATGTCGTTATGTGTTGTTCTAAACAATGTTGATACGTACAGATTACTGTTTAATTTGAGTTCCCGCAACTATTTTGACTAATAGTCAATTTTCAGCGAAATGACTCATAATTGACAACAGTGATGTGTTCACACTTTGTTTTAAAATGATCTTAAACCTCTTTGTTTTCAAATCGTATTCATTAGGATTAGTTTTTTTCTCTGTAGTTAGTGATACTACTACTACTACTACGACTACTACTCACACTACTATTACTATTACTGTAGTGAAGGAGAACACAGGCGAGGGCAACCGAATTCTGTTTAACGAAAATTACAGAGTTACTCAGTAAAATAGGAAAACCATATCGTAAATCGTTAATTTGCAAATCTCCAATCCATCATCAATCCATTGTCTGACATTTCACTGTTCATGCGTTTCATACAAATCCCATCGAGTTCCCGCTCTTCCTTTCTTGATTTTCCTCCATCTTCTGCTGCCAGACATTACGTCTTTACTCGCGTTATATACTACTTATAAGTAGCGCACACCACACAACTATTACTACTACTACCACCACTCACACTAATACTTACACTACTACCACGGCTACTGCAACTACTACTACTACCACTGCTCATACTTCTACTACTGTAGTGAACGAGAACACAGGTGGGGCAAACGAATTTTATTTAACGAAAATTACAGAGTTACTCAGTAAAATAGGAAAACCATATCCTATATCGTTAATTTGCAAAATATCAGTTCATCATATCGAACTGAACTGTTCCTGTTGCAAAACATCAATCCATTGTCACTATTCATGCGTTTCATACAAATTCCATTGTTTTCTAACTCTTCCTTTCTAGATCTTCCCCCATCTTCTGGTGCCAGACATTACGTTGACACTCACGTCATATACTACTTATAAGTAGCCCTCACCACATAACTATTACTACTACTACCACAGCTACTGCAAATATTACTACTACTACTCACACTACTACTACTAATACTCACACTAATACTGACAGTACTACCACTGCCGCTGCAACTACTACTACTACTGCTACATTTACAACTGTGTATTCATCTTGATGATTCCATGTTACGGTTAGTGATATAGTGTAGCGAACTGAATCGATGAGCATGTAATTATCAGGTTCCTTTCTGCTTTTGTACATTAATATTCAAAAAAACTAATTGAAACAAACTATTCCTACTGTGTGATGATGTTTTTGTTTAGAATTCTGAAATTATTTGTAAGTCTTTGGCAAATTTAACAATCAATCTATTATTATTATTATCGGAAGAAAATCATAACGAATCAATAAGTCAAGTAAGTTTACATGTTTTATTACATTTTTTTTGTTCAAAGTTTATGTGAGTAATTTAATAATATCTCTCATGAATCATCATGTCTTGTTGATGATACTCAAGAGTAAAATTAATCTGTCTACCGAGTGTGACAAGAATCTTTGATTTAGTTCACTCAAGATGTTTCTTTTAATAAGAGTTATAAAGATCAGTGGTTTTACACACTAAAATTATCAATCAGTCATTGTTAGACCACTACTATAAGAAACATGAAAGCACTAAATGACTGTTTCGTGGTCCTGGTATGGGACTTATCAGCAGTGTGCATCCACAACTCCTGCACTTCGCGAGATTTGAACCCGGGGTCTACGGGTCTAGGCAGTAAGCGAAATACGTAGATCAGTCAGAGTTAGACAATAAAACTGTTGGATGCCGACCCAGCGGTTCAGAGGTTAAGTGTTCACGCGCAAGATCGAAGGTCCTGGGTCCGATTCTTACGACTCGTGAGTTCGCACTGCTGATGAATTTCATACCAGCATGAAACGGCCGTCTCGTGTTTCCTGGTTCCTAATAGTGATCAAACAGTGATTGATTGATGATTTTAATGTGCAAAAAACACTGAAGAGGAACATAAAACAGCATAAATCGATAAATTCTAATATTGACAAAAATATGATAATGCCAATAACTACTAATGTTTTTTGCCATCACCACAGAAAGTTTGTAAAAGTGTTGAATTGTATGGTTTGTCAAGGGTATCAAATTTAATTTAATTAAACAGTTATTTAAAACCAGAAAACACTGAATCAATCAATAGTTCAGTGGATGACGCGTTGACATTGAAGAAAACCTAGAATACTTGGTTCAGTGCTGGGATTTAAATGAATATCCAGCTGAAGCGTCCCAACTAGAATGAATTGTAAGTCATGAGCTCCACCATTTCACTGATGATCATATCTCAGTTGTACTGCGGGCAATCGAAGGAATGTTAGTTAATTTTTTGTGAATAACTTAAGCCTTATAACTCACACATTTATGAAAAAAACCCAATTTGTAGAATTCTTATTTGATAAATCATTATTATAGTATTGGAATTTTTTAATGTAACAATCTATATGAAGGTTAACTTGATAATTTGAAATAAGCTTATCATACCGATATTTCGTGATTTATTATAAGTTACTTTTTTTAGAATTAAAAAATGAATAACCGAAATTAATATGACTGACTGATTTTTAAAATTATTGACTGAAAATCATAAAAAAAACATTGACAAAAATAGTTACTGGTGATTTTCAATTCACTATTTTTCGACGAGCGGTGTTTGTGGTATAGGAGTATGGGTTGGAACAGAGCTAGGGGTGGCCAAACCAAAACATGGTACAAATCCATGCAGTCACTGGCAAGTGGACTATGTCATGTTGGTAAATGCAGGCTACCTGGTTGGGGTCCGCGAGATGAAAGTCACCACTGGTCAGAGAGGTTAGAACGACATGGCTCAGAATAGTTTGCTATGGAGCAAGTGCATCCACTCTTTGTGTTCTATGGAATTCTAACCTTCTGCATTCCTCATAATCTCTACCTTTCTCCTCCTAAATTTATCTTACTGAATTGTGGTTCTCGAATCATATCTTCCCTCCCTAATCTCTCCGATTACTGCTAATACTTCTACTATTGCCATCACTCTTGGATTTAACTGACAGTTGCGTCTCTGTGTTGATGGATTATACTTCTTGGAGAATTTCTTTGGACCATGATCTTCTCTATTACCGCTAATACTTCTACTGTCTCTGCCACTATGCTATGTGAATTGACAATTGCGCCTCTGTATTAATGTGGTATGGCAACTTGAACTGAGTTACGTACGTGCGTACGTACGAAGTTCTACGTTGTAACTGACTAACAATTTACTTAATCAGGTAATCAAACTGATTGATATCAGCTATGAATATTATTATGAGATGTGTTGATCTACTCTTTTGTCAAATATAGTTTGATCCGTATTGATTGATTATCTGAAAGAGGTACACAACTTAAAGAATGTATTATTCTCACAATGTGAAAATAATCGATGTAAATATTATCAGGGATCATGAAAAAACTATTTTCTTCCAATCTGGGATGCTTAAAAATGGACCATTCACAAGCCCTCTCTCTGTATAAACGAATTTTAATACAAAACAGTCTGTAAATTGTTAAGTTAAAATCCAGTGGGTTCACATTTATAATTGAAGAAAGTTTATGAAACAGCCTAAAAAATATTTTATGTGATCAGATGTAATTGTCTCACTTCTTATATGATAACTGAACCTAATCAAGTAAGATTTCACTTGAAAACGTTAATAATCTCTACTCAAATTCAATTACCATTGAACACAAGCATGTTTCTCAATTAGTTTGATTGTAGAAAGCTTTAAAAAAAGAGAGTTGAAGATTTCTGTAAAAGGAGAGTATCTCTAAAACACCATTCAACATAATCAACTCAAATGTAGCATTCAATAAACCACCAAACATCTGAACAATACATTACTTACTTACTTACTTTCGCTTGGTACCCACCAGTTTCCTCTGACCAACTCTGTACTGGGCTTCGCTTTCCAATTCTGTCCAATTTTTATTCATTCTTCTCATGTCTTTCTCTATTTCGCGACGTAATGTATTCCTTGGCCTTCCGCTTTTCCTTTTGCCCTGAGGGTTCCAAGTGAGGGCTTGTCTTGTGATGCAATTCGGTGATTTTCGTAGTGTGTGTCCTATCCACTTCCACCGCTTCCTCCTGATTTCCAACTCCACTGGAATCTGGTTTGTTCTCTCCCACAGTAGATTGTTGCTAATGCTGTCTGGCCAACGGATCCTCAGTATTTTGCATAGACAACTGTTAGTGAATACTTGTATCTTATGGATGATGACTTTGGTCGTTCTCTATGTTCTCCATACATTAGAACTGTCTTGACATTTGTATTGAAAATCCTGATTTTGGTGTTGATTGATATTTGTTTGCAGTTTCAGATATTTTTCAATTGTAGAAATGCAGTCCTTGCTTCGCCAATCCGTGCCCTCACATCTGCATAGGATCCACATTTCTCACATGAACAATACATATTGATTGAAAAAGTTCGAATTCATTGATCAATTCTTTCACTGTCATTGCATAATATTATACACATTCAATGATCAATGCTTCATTTTATATAACTAAGCCGCTTTTTTTTCTGTGTCAAATTTTGTTTTTCTGCATTAAACAGATAAATCTTGACCGTAAGTTCAATTGATTTGAATAAAAATGTCAATGTAATCGAAACTACTTTACCGTGGGGAGACAAAAATAATCGACTAATGATTTTTTTTGTTCTACTGTTTTCTAGTTTGTACTGGCTGTAAGATAACTGTGAGAGCAGTAAAATTCATATTGACATTGTCACAAGTTACTTACTATGTTGACAAGTTTATTGATTGGTTATGTATTTTCACTGGACCGTATTTATCTGAAGTGAGTTGAATGTGAACATTTTACTCGTCTAGTTATGATGTTTTATCGAGGTACTAATGAAGAATAGTTTAACTTCCACAGAGATCGACTTCAGTTAGAGTATTGATACAAATAAAAAAGTACTAGGTGACTGCTTTATCTGTTGGAAGACTAGCTCTTCAGAAGTGTCTCTTAAATACGGAACTTAGTATCTCTATGTATCACTAACTCTCACACGTTAAGACGAATGAATATATTAGAATATAATGGTTAGAAGAACGGATTTTGGGGATAATATGTGATGAAAACCAACTACCTACCGACATATAATAAGTTAGGTAGTTTCTGGAGATATACCAAATATAATAGCATAGAATATATAGTGGCTTAACCATTCATTAGTGTATATTCCTTGTAGGATTTATAATTTGTCCTACAGATGTAATTCTAGAGCGGTAAACGCAATATTGGCAAGCACATAGTCTATGGGAAAGCTATAGTAAGAACGAGATCAACTTGGTTTTAAACTTTATCTGTTTCGACCAAAATAGCGTTTCTTTGGAAATAAATAGAACTATGGGTCACATCAATATAATACCATAATAACGTCCTTCAATCAGTAAGTCATTGACAACAAAGAAAGTTTACAGACATGTCAGATCAGATCACGTGGTGGGCGCTTAAACCACAATTTGATTGGTTAGTTATGATATAACTACAATTAGGTATGAAAATAACTAACATTCCTATGCACTACTGATCGAACCAATCTTCAGTGAGTCTACCATCATCTGTTTACTTACGACTGTTACCTCTAATGGAGTAAAGGATGCCGAACAGCATTCTCTAGTCAACTCTGTCCTTCAATTTCCTTTCCAGTTGTTCTCAAATGTCATTCATTCTTTCCATACCTGCCTTGGATTTTCGGCTCAGTGTGTTCCTTGCTCTACCTCTTTTCACTAGTTAACACTTCAATTATTCATGGATGTCTCTTGATACTTCTCGTTTCTGTTGTATGTTCAACGGTTATTAAGGATATGAGAGTCAGGCTTTCGCCACAGATTGATATTTATAATTAAGTTATTATATTTAAATACTAGATCATTTGATTCCAGTACCTAAGCTAAATAATATTGTGGTTCGAGCTACTTATAAGTAGTATATGACGTGAGTAAAAACGTAATGTCTGGCAGCAGAAGATGGGGGAAGATCAAGAAAGGAAGAGTTAGAACACAATGGAATTTGTATGAAACGCATGAACAGTGAAATGTCAGACAATGGATTGATGTTTTGCAACAGGAACAGTCCAGTTCGATATGATGGACTGATATTTTGCAAATTAACGATTTACGATATGGTTTTCCTATTTTACTGAGTAACTCTGTAATTTTCGTTAAATACAATCCGGTTGCACCACCTGCGTTCTCCTTCACTACAATATCAAGTTTACTGATAAGAAGAATGCCTCATCAAGATACCAAAGAAAGGAGACCTTAGCAAGTGTGAGGACTAGAGAAGCATCACTCTACTATCATTACCGAGAACAATATTCAACAGAGTGTCATTGAACCGAATGAAGGATTCTGTATGATTGATAAACAGATGTAAAGACACGGATTCGCAAAGCAAGAGCAACATTCCTACGATTAAAAAAAATCGGAAATCAAAACAACTGTTAACCAACACCAAAGTCACAATTTTCGATATGAAAGTCAAAGCACTTCTATTGTATGGAGAAAAAACTTGAACAACTACAAAGGACATTATTCAAAAGATATAGGTGTATTTAGCAATTATCTACACACGATACTGAACATCTGTTGGTCAGAACCCATAAGCGACAACCTAGTGTGTGTGATAAAACAAACTACATTACATTTATGACAGAAATTAGTAAAATGTTTTACAAGTGGATAGGACACACATTGAATAAAGCACCCAACTGTGTAACAGAACAAGCCTTCAGAAGGTCAGAAGAAGAAAGGATGGACAAGAAACATATTATGTCGAGAAACAGACAAAAACATCATAAGAATGTACAAAAATTGGATAGAAATGGAAAGGGAAGCCCAGGACAGAGTTGTTTGGAGAATACTGGTGGGCGGCCTGTGCTTCATCGGGGCTGAACGACGTGCATAAGTAACTATTTCAAAATCCCAGATAATTAATACGCTTCAAGTTGCAGTTTCTGCAGTCTAGTCTATTTTTTTTTAACTCAATATTACAGAAAAACAGCTTCAAGGTCATCTATACATCTTAATAAATTCAATACTTAAACTGATTCCAATCAATTCAGACCTAGAATAATAAATAAATCAAGTGATTGATTGTTGATATTTAAATTCAATGAAGAATGTTGTAACTTCTTGACAATGTGTTGTTTGATGTATTGGGCTTATATTAAAATATTTAGAAAGAAAATGTTTTACTTTATATCTATTAACTCTACACATGATCATTACATTTTTCCAGTGTTCATTTGTTGCTCAACGTTATGCTGGTATACTAATCAATTTATTGGAAAATACAACTGTTCCTAAAATTTGTCAGGTATTTATTTGGATGAGTTTGGTTTATTTTTTTTAAAAATTTCAATTGTTTGCTTTTTTTGGGCGGCGGGAAAATTACTCAATGTTATCATTTTCTTATTCAGTAGATTAGAGTATAGTCGAAAGTAATTCTGTTGGGGATGTTAGAACCCCTAGGACTCGCTTGATGAATGCCTTATTTTTGGTTTTCATGTTTGCCAGCATGGGCTGATCAGTTGACCTTGAGATTTCACTTCCTACCAGGAAAGCCCTCGGCTGTGATTGGCTGCTGTGTATTTTAGTGTGCTATTTTTGTGACTCTCCCAAGGACGTTTCTATTATGTATAAATAAACGAGAGTTGTATGCTTGATGGTACTATGATTGCTGGGGTTTGTAGAATATACATTCTACACTTACAAAGCCTTCTTACCCTAGTTTGGGATTCAAGGTAGCCTAACTGGACGGTGGTAAAAGTCTCGTTCGCGTAATAGTGTCAAGCACACTTAGTGACGAATCCAATAAATCCATTTAATTAGTAGACAATAATACTTACTTACGTACTTACTTATACCGGTCACTCCTAATGAAGCATAGGCCGCTGATTGAATTATTTTTTCTGGTTAGCGAATTTTTAGCGAGTTACTTTTCGATAGATTGGGGTCGCCAAGCCCAAGTCCAACTGTTCTCCTTGATCCGGGCTTGGGACAGGCAGTAGACTCAGATGGGCTACAGGAGGAGTAATCATCAACAACTACTGTGAAAGTAAAATTCTGCTTTAAACGATTCATATTCCTAATAGATATAAGATTGTTAGTGCTTTAGTTATTGCACATGCTTTGATTTTATTCATTTCAATGGTCTACAAACACATTTAATCATTAAAACAATCATCACGATGTGTAAAAATTGAAAAGGTCACTTCTACAAAATGTAGACTTTGATGATGAATGGACTGGGGTGGATGTTGGCTCATCAGTTCTGTGAAGGTTGGTGGTATTCGATATATGCCTAAAGCTCGTCGTATACATCTCGTCCTGATAACCGTTACTAGATAACGCTCAACGGTGAATACAATTCAGAAGACGAATATGAAGTGTTAATAATGTTTATTATATCGCACCACACACAACTCACAAAAGCACAGGCACATGAAGTGAAAATGATATGCGAGTGTCGAAGAGCAAGTGAGTGATCAAGTGAGCGAACAAGTGAATATGATTCAAATGTACTTATGTATATATACACAGGAAAATAAATGAGTCATTGAATTATTTTAGAGGCAAACATTAAAGCGAATAGACTGAATATAGAAGTGTACGCAACAAGCGATGTTCAATCATACTTGCTCATATAAACGTGACAATCATAAAAGCATAATGGTACAAATATTACCTGTTACAATACAAATTACTCTGTCTGTTAATTAAGCTGATGAAAAAGAACTTAACCAAATTATAGGACACTTCCTAACTAAAATATTTTTAATTCAAACAAGTCAGAGTCATTTTAGGTTAGTATGAACTTTGGGAAACATCTACGTCCAGCTGATGATGAGCTTAAAACAAGAAAATAGTGTATGTTCTAAGTTCGAGCTCTAGTCACAAATTCAATCTATTATAAAACTTGTAGCTACAAGAAAATACAAGGTCATTCAATCGTTGTGTAAATGTGCCAATAGAGATTGATCAATATTCAATAATGAAAATCATCAACAACAGTAAGACAAAAATCTTCACCAATGTAATACAACACCAACATTAATCTTTGTACTCATGCTTATTTTTAGCGCAATTAAAAATTTGTCATTCAAAATTTTATTTTTTAGAAAATAGTGAAATGTTAAGAATGAATGATTTGAACATTTGAAATATTGGCGGGTTGGAGAAGAAAAAAGACGTTACTTTCACTTTATTGTATTTTGTTAGTTAGTTAACGAATTGTTGTGACAGTAAATTAGCAGCTTGTGAAATAAAATATATTTACTGTTAGATTTCTGTTCTTCAATGTTTTAACATTTTAAATTCAAACTAAATGGTGATTGTCCCAGTAAAAAATTGTTACTGAACTAACTGTAAATGGTTGATTTTAACTATTTTTGGCTGTATTCAATTCCTGAACATTGGTGATTGAATAAACTTGTTGATTCAACAAAGTTTGAATTTCTCGAAAATATCTAGTTCATTTCAAAGAGGTAAGTGATGCATATTCTTAGTTTTGGTTGGTAATTTAAGATAATCAAATGGAGACCGAAATATAGATTTCAGCTTACTTGCTTACTTACGCCTGTTACATCCAATAGAGCATAGGCCGCTGACCAGTGTTCTCCAACCAACTCTGTCCTGGGCTTCCCTTTCCAGTTCTGTCCAATTATTGTTTATTCTTCACTTGTCTGACCCCATTTCTCGACGTAATATGTTTCCTGGCATTTCTCTTTTCCTTCAACCTTGAGGATTCCAAGTGAGGGTTTGTCTTGTGACGAATTTGGGTGCTTTCCGCAATGTGTGTCCTATCTTCTTCCTGATTTCCTCCTCCACTGGAATCTGGTTTTTTATCTCCCACAGTAAGTTGTGATCGATGGTATCCAACGAACGGATCTGAAGTATTTTGAGTAGACAACTGTTAAGGAAAACTTGTATCTTCTGGTAGCTTTCAAACCAATCAGGACTTGTTAGCAAGACGTATCTACAATTTCGATGGAACTAGTAAGTCTGTTACGCATAACCTAGAGCCACAGATCGATATGTTGGATTCGGACTATCTAGGCCATGGAGAGTATAAATTTTTTTCAAGATTACAGAGAAACTTATAGTTATTCGTTGAAGCTGTTAAAAAAAAGGAGAATTTTTTTTATTGATAAGTCATGATGAGTAAGCAAGTTCATATTTTTCTCTAATTGAAGCGTAATATTTCATGACAAAAGTTTTTATGCTAAAACCTAAAAATTGACATTAATTTTATCTTCAGTCTAACATTTTATTTAGAACAATCTTGAGTGAAATCACATTATTTCAAATCATTATGTTTGTACAAATTAAGTGTACATTCAGCAAGTTAGGTATAAGCTTTCATCCCGTATGACGATACATCCTATGTGACACTCTGTATAAATCTCTTATGTGTTTAACACTAACCCTATGTATTTCTTCATTTATATGATGTTTAATAATTTATTAGCAGTAAGGTGTAAAATTAGGCTATAATCAATGCATTTGGTTTTGTTGGGAATTTTAGATTCCCAGAACTCGCTTTATAAATGCCTTATTTTGGATTTCACGTTTGAGAGCATGGGCTGATCCGTTGACCTTGAGGTCACATTTTCCACCAGGAAAACCCTTGGCTGCTGCGTATTTCAGTGTGTTATTTTTGTGACTTTCCCAAAGACGTTTCTATGATGTATAAATAAACGAGAGTTGTGTGCTTGATTGTATTGTGCTTGCTGGGTGTTTGTAGAATATACTTTCTACGTTATATCAAGACTTCTCGCCAGCTGTTTTGAGTCAATGGATGAGGGTAGCCTACCTGGACGCTGGTAATTGTCTCGTTCGCTTTTATCGACTAAAGTGAACTCGTAATAGCTTCAGGCGTACCTAGTGACGAAGTCAACAGGTTTTAACGATGTTGTGTTTTTGAAGAGTCAATAAATCTTTATATGTACAAATTTTAGTGTTTTCACTGTATACAAGTACTACTACTCACGCTACTACTAATACTGCGACCACTACGGTTACGACTACTACTACTTACACTATTACTACTACTAAACACATTGCTACTACTACTACTACTGTGGTGCGAACTACTTATAAGTAGTATATGACGCGAGTGTAAACTTAATGTCTGGCAGCAGAAGAGGATGGGGGAAAATCAAGTAAGGCAGAGTGGGAACACAATAGAATTTGTATGAAACGCATGAATAGTGAAATGTCAGACAATGGATTGATGATGGATTGAAGATTTGCAAATTAACGGTTACGATATGGTTTTCCGATTTTACTGAGTAACTCTGTAATTTTCGTTAAATGCAATCCGGTTGACCCACCTGTGTTCTTGTTCACTACACTACTACCATTACTACTACTACTAATACTACTACTACTTCTACTACTACCACTACTACTACGACTACTACTATTACTACTATTACTACTCAAATACTGTAACCAAATATACAACAGGTTTAACTGGCTTCTGGGACATTCATTCTGAAATAATGAAATGATTGAATTATACTTCAATGAAAGAATAAATGGAGTTTTTACTTTTTCTAGATAAATGAATAAATATCACTATAGAATGATTTCCTCAGTTTTATGTTAATTATGACAGTCTTATATATATATATATATATATATATATATATATATATATATATATATATATATATATATATAGATATAGATATATACATATATAGTCGAATAACGAGAACAAAACAATGAACCAGCGTCCAGGTAGGCTACTGTGGTCCGATTGTCTCAATTGTACCAGCAAGAAGTCTTGATATAGCATAGAAAGTGTATTCTACAAACACCCAGCCAGCCCACAAATCGCGTTTATTTATACTCCATAGAGATGTCTTTGGGAGAGTCACAAAAATAGCACACTAAAATGACACAGTAATAAATCACGTCCAAGGATTTTCCTGGTGAGAAATGTGATCTCAAGGTCAACTGATCAGTCCATGAAATCAATCCCAAATAAAGATATTTATCAAGCGAGTTCTCGGGATCTAGCATCCCCAACTATATTCCATAACGAGGTTGTGAAAATTGTTAAGCTACACATTCGAAATCATGAATGGATCAATGTTAGACCACCAATAGAGACCTAGAAGCACTGGATGGACGTTTCGTCCCAGTATGGGACTCATCAGCAGTGTGCACGGCATCGAAGTCTGTGACATTCACATTTAGGAAGACCAATAGGAAGCAACATTTGAAGTGACGTTGAAGGTCAGGACAACCAATAAACAACATAGGAGCATGTGACACTGATAGTTAGGACGACCATAAAATTGACCAGTAGGAATTGACCAATAATTCTGTTAGGATATTGGATGAATCTCCTAACAGTTTATATTTGCTTAAGTGAGGTTTTATTAAAAAGACCACCAATTAATAAAGTGCACAAATGGATACTTTAAGTTGAAATAGTGTACATCAACCGTGAGATGTAAGTTTATTCAACTGAAGAGTTCGAAATCGGATGAAATGCGCATCCTGGATTCCATAGCTAGGCTAAACTCTATCATTTCTACATAAAAATAATAACCATCAGTCAACTAATTTTATTGAATAACAATCAGCCCAACATAGCTTAAGAATGGAAAATAAAAACTGTACAGAAGTGGATTTGAAGTTACGTAAGTCATTCTCCAAATATAAATTATAGAGTAACATATTTCACAAAGGTCTGATGCAATTAATAACTGTTGCTTCTTCTTATGTTCACTAGAATTCAAGATTACTATCTAAATTTCGTGTATACTTGTTAATAATATTTTTAACTAAAGTATCAACGATCATCATCACTTTGAACTTTTTTAAAGAATCGTGAATTCTATCATCATTGTTGTATAGATATGTGTTGTTGCTGTTGTTGTTAAGTTGTACATATCAGAAAAATTGTAGATTAGGTTACACTTTAAACTTATCAGATTGAGTTATCCATTATCAAGTAGGTTGAACTGTTACATTGAGTTATAAGTGTCTACTATACTTTATTTACTGGTACTGTTGATAGGTTTTCAAATTATGTTTTATAACTGATATATTACGCTTCATTAGCATTAAACCTCATTAAGGTTTTCGTTTGATTGGCTTTGAAGTGAACATTTATTTTGGATCAATCAGTTTAACAGTGCTAACGTTTCACAACCACAATTCCTTAGTTTGTTCTGCACAAAAAAAGATTATCATTATTCATCAGTCAAAACTTAATTATTGGTTTTTGAGTTTTGAGATGCATCGGTTGATATCTTAGGGGAAGCACGGGATAAAGTGGACAGCTTGGATTCAGCTGGATAATGTAGACTTCGCAGATTATCTGGCTCTTCTATCGCACATGCAACAACAGATGTTAGAGAATACGACCAATGTAGCAGCAACTACTGCAGCAGTAGGCTTTAACATCGTGCGATACAACACAACACACACCAACTGAATCACACTTGAAGAAGAAACTTTGAAAGATATAGAAACCTTTACACACTTATCTGGACAGCATCATTAATAAACAAGTTGTAAAGACATGGATTAGCAAGGCAAGGACAGCACTTCTATATTTTGACAAAATCTGGAACTCAAAACAACTATCGACCAATACCAGCGTCAGAATTTTCAAATGTCAAAACAGTTCTATTGTATGGAAAAGAAATTTGGAAAACTACGAAAGATATCATCCAAAATGTACGGTTGTTGATTAACAGTTGTCTACGCAATATACTACAGGTCTATTGGCCCAATACTATCAGCAACAATCTGCTGTGGGATAAAGCAAATCAGATTCTAGCAGACGAAGAAATCAGGAAGAAGCGCTGAAAGTAGATGGGAAACACATTGAGAAAAGCATTCGACTGCGTCACGAGACAAGCTCTCACTTGAAATACTCAAAGCCAACGAAAAAGAGGAAGACCAAATAACATATTACGCCCACTATTGGAGACAGACGTAAAAAGTAAGACCAGCAGGTGGATAGAACTAGAAATCAAGTCCCCGAACAGAGTTAGTTGGAGATTCCTGGTCGGTCTCCATTGGGGGTAACAGGCGTAGTTGACTGAGTGAAGTAATCAGTGCACTGATACTCAGAACCTCTATCTTTCTCCTTTTAAATATATTTCAATGGATTATGCTTCTTGAACAATATCTTCGAACCGTAATTTTCTCCATTACTGCTAATACTTCTACTATCTCTACTACTATTGGATTTGAACTGACAGTTGTGTCTCTGTGCTGATATAGGGTATGGCAACTTGAACTTATGTACGTATGTACGAAGTTCTGACTCGTAACTAACTGCCTGACTGACTCAATTTGACCACATAACGTACTGAGTATTCTCGTAATATACTTTCCAGAATATAATTATCGTTTTTTAAAACTTTTGTTGTTGATGATCAAACTATTTCTACTATAAAACCTTTCATACTGTATCGTTTTTTGTAAAAGCTCGTGATCGTTGTTCACGAAAAGTTATCATTCAAGTTGCTTTTCTCAGTTTATCATCAAAGGTGTATGAAAATGTTGTACTTTGTAAAAGTGTGTTGGGGATGTTAGACCCCCAGAACTCACTTGAAAAAGTCCTAATTTTGCAATTTATTTCTGAAATTTTTCAAATTCATTGTTTTCGCACCAAAGACGCTTAGTTGACCTTTAGCTTAGATTTCCTCTTCGGAAAATCCTTGACTGACATTGGTTAACGGATTATTTTAGTACGCTATTGTGTGGCTCTCACCAAGGACGTTTTATCATTGTATAAATAAGCTTCAGTTATGTGCTTGTGGACCTCGTATTTTCTCAGTGCCTGTGAAATATATTCTCTCTACGTCTTATAAAGACTTCTTGCTTTTTTTAACAGGGCCTGGGACAATCGGATTAGTATAGCCTATCGTATCACTACATCGTTGATCTTCGTTCCGTTGACCGAGCGAGCAAGGTGAACTCCTAATAGCTCAAGCATATCAAAGTGTTACGAGTTTGACTGGATTCATTCATAAGTTATACATTAATTGTTTCGTGCTTCTACTGAAATGTTGTATACATCCACGCACTGAGAGTTTGGCAATACATCACACCTGTGCAAATATATGTGTTTTATGCAAAATGACAAGATAGTTTACAAGTTAAAATATTTATTGATTTACTTATTTGATAAACTTGCCAAAGCGGTTTTAAACAAAATGATACATAGCAAAATGGAATCAAACACAGGTTAAATTAATGTGTAAAATCATCTGAGAACCATTCACCTTCGGAATTCTAAAAGAAATAAAGTAATATATCAATGTTAAGTTTACTATTTATCATTCACAACAAATTTAGATTAACAAACTATCCTACTGAAAAGTATTAAAGTAAGTAGTTCAAAAATATATAATTATTTGAAACTAACGATAATTCAGGGTAAATGATTAAATGGCTCAGCCTGGAGTCCTTCTAGGTTTACTGGCATTCCTATCTAAGGATGAATTAAGGAAGAGGGTTAGGCATATAGATAGACTTAGCATCCTTATTTGGTAGAAATAAACCTTGGCTAAAAACACACTAAGTTGTTGAATAGTAATATTAAACCACCATTAGAAACCTGGAAGCACTGGACGGTCGTTTCGTCCTGGTATGGGACTCCTTTTTCGAAGTGAGTTCTAGGGATCCAACCTCCCCAACAATATATAACAATCTCAGTGTTTGTAAGAACTTGAATCAAAATTTTCAAGTGAAGCATTAGATTCTACTTAAAATTCACTCCCTGTCCAATGTTTGTTCAGTCCTCTCATATCTTTCTCTATTTCTCGGCATAATGTGGTCCTTGGCCTTCCTCCTTTCCTTTTGCCTTCAGGGTTACATGTGAGGGCTTGAATTGTGATGCAGTTAGGTGCTTTTCGTAGTGTGTGTGTCCTATCCACTTCCACCGCTTCTTCCTGATTTCATCCTCCACTGGAATCTGGTTTGTTCTCTCCCACAGTACGTTGTTAGTGATCGTGTCTGGTCAACGAATCCGAAGTATTTTGCTTAGACTATTGTTAAGGAATACTTGTATCTTGTGGATCATGGTTTTCGTAGTTCTCCAAGTTTCCGCTCCATACAGTAGAACTGTCTTCACATTTGTATTGAAAATGCTGATTTTGGTTTTGGTTGAAAGTTGTTTGGAGTTCCAGATATTTTTCAATTGTAGAAGTGCAGCTCTTGCTTTGCCAATCCGCGCCCTCACATCTGCATCGGATGCACCTTCATTGTCAATGATGCTGCCCAGATATGTAAAGGTGTTACATATGTTACTATATGTTACTATACTATACTACACTATATCCATAATAGTGTTCAATGATCAATTTTTTTGACTACTCAAATAAGTTTATAGACAGTGGACATTTAACAACAAATATAGATTGGCTACTTGATTATCCCATTTTTAAATAACATAAAAATTATACAAATATGTATTCTATTATTATGATAACAATTATTTTCTTCAATAAATTAAAGATAATTCCATACTAGTGGATTCAATTTTCAATACTTACTTTATAAATGACGTCAATTAAAGCCATCACAGATTTTTTGAAAGTTTTTGTGCACTAAATTGAAAAAAAAGATAAAATTATCGATTTCATGATGAAAGTTGATTACGTATGAATGATTGCATTTTGTATTCTTAGTCTATAAGTTAAAATAGATTGTCGTATACAACGGAGAACTTCGTACGTAAGTACATCAGTTCAGGTTGTCATACCACATCAACCTGCCGACATGGTTCACTCCACTTGTCAGTGACTTCATGGATTTGTGCGACGTTTCGGTTTGGCCGCCCCTAGCTTTCTTCCAACCCATTCCTACATCGCAAAATATAGCTCTACGAGGCAGGTATATATAACACATGTCCCAACCATCTCAACTGATGAATTTTCAACACGTCATCTATTAACTTGCCATCCCTACCTAGAACTCGTTTCCTAACGACAGCATCGCTTACTCGGTTGTCCCAGGATACACGAGCAATGCTTCGAAGACTAGTAACCTACGAAAGTTCTCTACTTTTAACTGCCATGTTTCACAGCCATATGGTAGGACGGAGTGAACTGCTGCGCAGTACACTCGTCCTTTGGTTAGCAAGCGGATATCTCGCCTGAGCCATAGGTGACGCAGGTCAAAGTTAAAATTCACTTGAAACTTGTAGGTTGGATGTTGTAAACGTTGATGAATAGACTCTAGTTAAAGTCTGAAATGATAGTAACAATCAGTTTAGAGTTGTTTGTTGGATTACTGATAGTTCTCAAAATATTGTCGATTCGTCGTAGAAGAATCTTACCTTCAGTTACTGGCAAATATTTGAATATTATACACTGAGATTTTTAATGATTTGAATAAGATTTTTATTGTAAACAAATTTCGATCGAATAACTGCTTTCCGTTTGAATCATGAATCAATGAATGTTAGACCACCATTAGAAAAATGGAAGCAACGGACAGCTAGTTTCGTCAAAGTATGGGGATTCATCATTGACAAACGCTCATCCACGATGCCCACTGGCAGGAATCGATCGCAGCCCCTTTGGTCTCGAGTGCGAGCACTTAGCCTTTAGACTATTGAGTCGGCATCTAACAGTGGTAATGTCTAACTTCGATCAATCTAAGTCAGATAACTGAGTATGCGAAAAGAAGGGTAATTCTATAATTAGAGAATATCATCATGAAGTGATTTATTGTTGAGTATACTAAAAAATTCATCGTTTTATATTTAAGAACAAGATGCCATCCTGGATAAGCATAACCTACACGATTATTGAAAATCAAATTGCCATGAATAGGTATTTCATTCCCGGATGAGATTTTCCAATAGTGAATATTCATAACCCTACATACTCTTAAGTCATCAGGTTGATAATCCATGGTTCACGTGCTTTGCTTCAATTAGAATGTGATGTAACATGATCCTCAACCATATTCGATTGATCAAAAACAAAATCGTGTGTAAACTATGCAGTACACTTGAGTGGTTTTGCTATTCTTCCCACTCACTCACTCACTCACTCAAACACTAACTTACATAATCCTAACTAAATGACCAAATTAGATGTAATCTATCATTCTAAAAGCCTGAAAACAACGGACCACCATCCATTACTCCAGCTATTCGCAGGAATCGAACCAAAGGACCTTCGACCTTGTGCGTGATTGCGTTCACTGTTGATAAGTCTCATTCTAGGATGAAATCGGACATTCTGCACTTCCAGGTTTCTAATTGTAGTCTAACGATGACTATTGATTCATGATTTCGAAATATCAGATTTCTCTAATCAGAAAACCATTATGTTTTATTTAAACCGATTAGCTTTAGTTGATTATATCTATATGAATAATATTTACTAAATGTCATTACTATATATCATATCACTCATTAAAATACCATTCGTCATAGAGGTCACAACAGAGCAAGAATCTAGAAGAAAAAACCTTCACTTACCATTTTATTAGAAGAACAAAGTTCTTTAGCTGTTTGTTGAATAGATTCCGGTGTAATTATTGACTCGATATCCTCTTTCACTATGCTCAATGTTTTCATCAATAGATCAGTATCTGTTAAACGATGAAATTTAAGGGGAATACAGTTAGTTAGAGTTTTTTTTCTAAATTTATATTACATATCATAAGTTTTGACTGGTATGTAAAGAGATTGACTCATAATTACAAAGTAAAACAACAATCTCCATAAATCTGATTAGTGACTATCTTCGTGAGGAAAGTCTCTGAGTTCTAGTGAGAAACCGTGACCATTCGAGTTCGACCATGTCGAGCGTAGGCACTTTCTTACCGAAGACAGTGGGTGAGTTTGCGCAAAACCTTAGATTGATTAGAGTTGGACATTAACACCGTTGGATGCCGGCTTAGTGGTCTAGAGGTCAATCGTTCGCGCGCGAGACCGAAGGTCCTGAATTCGATCCACGATGGCGGAAATATTGAATGCGCATTACTGGAGAGTCTCACACTTGGACGAAACAGCCGTCCAGTGCTTCCGGGATCTGACGGTGGTCTAACTACGATTAATTCATGATTCCAATGGAAAGAGGACCCGATATTTTACACTGACGGTATAAGCATTGTCAACAACCCACCTTTCAAATGCTCAAGAAGATGCAAAAGGCTTAAATTCCATTCAATCAATCGATATATCTCAGTAAATTTGAGCTTGGACATTGTAATACTGTTCCCTAAGCTGGTCAGTTAAATCCAAATTATTATTATTATTTTCAGCTGCAGTAGTTTTATAGAAATTGCCAGAAACCAACACTATCTTGTAATTATATTACTAAATTTTAGTTTTGTGTTTAAACTAATTTTGTGTGGTCAGGCATTTCAGTCGCGATTGAGGTGAGCACAACTGAGGGCTAGTCTAATTCCTACCGAAGTTTTCTGATTGCCTACTGAATTCATAGGAGATTGGGTACCAATAGGTAAGAAGGTTTTGCGTGCTGTTCGTCGGTTATTGAGTCAGTTCATTGACTAAAAGATCACTAGTCCTACTGACGATATATGCGAGCTAATCAAAATTCTGATTGGGTAGTATAAAATGTGATACCGATTAGTATCCTAAAGTATAACACAAACATGATAAGTAGTTCATTGGAACAGTTATCACTGTTTACGAATGATATTTTCGGTTGTTTCATCACTCTGACTGATTGATTGATTTAGCGAATGAGTTATCAGTATGAATGTTATTCTCTGGTAAGATGATAACGTTTCTTTTTTAACATAATTTAAACATTTTGAATAATGTAGCACTAACTGTTTTATTCACCTGTTAACTATATCTATACAGTTTAAATAGTCGCTGGTTGTTGATCATTACTGATGTACTTTTTACGATGTCATCTATCAATTATGATATAATTGAGTAATAAGTATCATTTCTTATTTAGTATGCTATATGGTCAGAAAATTCAGTAGTAATTGAATTGAGTACAATAAAGAACTAGTCTACCTTCTATCTATGCTTTCTAGTTGCCTACTCAGATGGAAGGAGCTCAAGGACCAACAGACATGAAGGTTTTGAGTGTTAGTTGTTAGTCATTTAGTGTGTCAGTTAATGGAAAACAGCATAAACTATGAAGTCATTGAAGAAAGATTAAATTAGTTAATGGTTACATGAGATTTTGCAAAATCGTACACGAAGGACAACTAACAGACTCTTTCGAGGTGAAGACCGGTGTCAGGCAAGGTTGCTTACTCTCACCCTTTCTCTTTCTCCTGATGATCGACTGGATTATGAAAACGTCGACATCTGGAGGGAAGCACGGTATCAACTGGACAGTTAGGACGCAGCTGGATGTTCTGGACTTCGCAGATGACCTGACTGCTCTATCGCACACGCAACAACAAATCCAAGAAAAGACGACCAGTGTAGCAACAGCCTCTGCAGCAGTAGGTCTCAACATACATAAATGGAAAAGTAAGATTCTAGAATCCAACTCAACATGGACCAACCAAATCACTCTTGATGGAGATGCCTTGGAGGACGTTAACACCTTTATATATCTGGGCAGCATCATCGACAACAAAGGTGGATCCGATGCAGATGTGAGGGTGCGGATCGGCAAAGCAAGGGCTGCATTTCTACAATTGAAAAATATCTGGAATTCCAAACAACTTTCAAACAAAACCAAAATCACGATTTTCAATACAAATGTCAAGACAGTTCTACTGTATGGAGCGGAAACTTGGAGAACTACCAAAGCCATCATCCAGAAGATACAAGTGTTTATTAAAAATTGTCTACGCCAAATACTTCGGATTCTTTAGCCAAACACCATCAGTAACAGCTTAATTTAGGGAGAGAACAAACCAGATTCCAATGGAGGAAGAAATCAGGAAGAAGCGGTGGAAGTGGATAGGACACACTACGAAAAGCACCTAACTGCGTCACAAGACAAGCCCTTACCTGGAACCCTCAAGGCAAAAGGAAAAGAGGAAGGCCAAGGAACACATTACACCGAGAAATAGAGAAAGATATGAGAGGAATGAACAAACATTGGACAGAACTGAAGTTGGAAGCCCAGGACAGAGTTGGTTGGAGAAAACTGGTGGTCGGCCTATGCTCCGTTTGGAGTAACAGGCGTAAGTAAGTAAGTAAATGAGATTTTGAAATGACCGACACTGAATAATATGAATTAATGAATGAAAAATTAATGGTAACATAGTGTGTTTTATTGACCATATACCCGTTATAGATTTGCATTGTACAGCTATTTGATTCTCACTGGCTTGCTTATTTAAGTCGTTTGTCAAGTTTGAGGTTCCATGTGGTTGACTGAATGCCACGAAAACACTATCAGAGCATATGACAGGCTGGAGTTTTCAAGGGTTTCTACCGGTGTCATATCCGCCCGATAAAGGAAGAGGGTTTGGCATGAGGTTAGCTAACCCATCCATTAGAAATCTAACTTGCCAAAAATTTCTAACTAGAACAAATAATTCAAACTAGTTAAACTCTACCCTGGTAGTTGGAAGATCTTCACTTGAAATAGTTATCACGCCTTGAGGTGAAAGTCAAGTTTCTTCGGAAGTCTCGAGGTTTGTGCGCCTCACGAAAATCAGAGCAACAATCAAAATGGGTACAAAGAATTTTCAAGCAATGCGGGAGGTTTAAAGAACCAGTCAAGTGAAGCGGAGTATTAGAAACAATAAACATAACTATGTGTAAGATCTAGCCACGTCAGCAGAAAAAGCTGCAAGAGATGGAAGTATGAGACATTTATACAATATAACGAAGAAGCTCACTGGAAAATATAGTAAATCAGAACGACTAATGAAGAACAAAGAAGATAAAGCAATCACCGACGACCCATGTGTCAGCAGCCTCAGCAGCAGTCTGCTCCAGCATACGTAAGAAAGAAGAAGCAAGATCCTCCGAAACAACGAAGCAAGCCCTGATAGAGTCACACTTGATGGAACAGCTTTAGGAGATCTGTAAACCTTTACACACTTATCCGGGTAGCACTACTGATAAACAAGGTGGTTCTGATGCAGATGTAAAGACATAGATTAGTAAAGCAAAGATTGTATGTCTTCAGATGAGCGAAATCTGGAACTCAAAACAACTATCAACCAACATCAAAGTCATAATTTTCGATACAAACATCAAAACAGTTCTATTGTATGGAGAGGAAATCTGGTGAACTGTGAAAGATATCAATGTTTACGCAAGATAAACCTCATCCATTGTCCAGACACTATCAACAACAACCTACTGTAGGGGAGAACAAACAAGATTGCAGTTGAGGAAGAAATTAGAAAAACAGCATAGTCGGTTTATAGGATATGCATTGAGAAAATCGTCTACCTACACCTCAAGGTCAAAGGAATGCAATATACCAAGGCAAACACTGCTCCGAGAATCGGAGACAGACATCAGAAGAATAAATAACAATTTAGAACAACCTGAAAAGAGCGTGAAACACAGAGCTGATTAGAGTATGCTGGTAAGCAGCCAATGCTACATTGGGCGGTAATAGGCATAAATAAGTAAATGAATAACTTACAGAATGTATTATCTGCTGATATCATCGATTCTTGTTGAACTGTTTCACAAAGTCCAAGATACTTCAAGAAATGTGTACAAAAACAAAATAAGCATAAATTTTGTTCATATATATGTAATCACATACTACAGAAATACGTTGATTTGGCTAAAGTTAATTTTGAACAATGAACTTAAAAATCTCCACTAATCTCTCATACTTTTTATCAATAATTATTGACAACTAACGTTTTGTGAAATTCTTAAAGTTTTTTTAATAAGACGTTCTGATTAGTGGGATTTTGTCAAAATCCATTGTCAGAAACATATAGTAGGTCATATCAAAAACTAACTACCGTTAGATATGATGATCGCATCTTGAGATTTGTACGTCCTATGTTCGAATCCCAATAATATTGTTATATTGTGTCATTGCCAAAATTATGTAAAAAGATGAGACAACTGTACATTGCTTCTTAGTTTGTTCGGTTATTACGTAAATGTTTGGGATGTTAGATCTCCAGAACTCGCTTAATAAATGCCTTATCTTGGATTTCATGTTTGCCAGTATGGGCTGATCAGATGAACTTGAGATTTCATTTCCCACCAGGAAAATCCATGGCTGTGATTGGCTGCTGTGTATTTTAGTGTACTATTTTTGTGACTGTCACAAGGTCGTTTCTATGATTTTTAAATAAACGAGAGTTGTGTGCTTGATTGTATTGTGATTGCTGGGTGTTTGTAGAATATACCTACTGCGCCTACAAAGCCTTCTGTCTTCAGCTTGGGATTCAAGGTAGCCTATCTGGTTCATTGTCTCGTTCGCGTTTATCTACTAAAATGAACTAGTCATAGCTTCAAGCGTACCTAGTGACGAGCATATCAGTAAAGTTATTCGATTATGTTAAAATATGTTAAATCATGTCTTGAACATGATAACAAGTAGTATCACAGTTAATTTTAAATGTATTACACATTGAAATTATGAATCAATCATTGGTAGACCCTCAACGGAAACCTGGAAGCACCAGACGGCTGTTCCGTCCTGGTATGGGATTTATAAGTAGTGTACATCGACTATTCCTGCACCTCATAGGATTTCAACCCAGGGTCTTCGGTCTTGCTCGTGAAAGCTTATAATCTGGACCACTGGGCCGGTGCCTTACGGTGTTAATATACAACACTGGTCTATCTAGAGATTTTGCGCAATCTCACCTATTTGTCTTCTGTAATTATTACCGACACTCGATAGGGCTGAACTTCACTGGTCACAACTCACTAGAACCTTGAGAATTTCCTCACGATACTAGTCACCAGTGAGCATATTGTACAATTTCTTCAAATTAAATTTAGTACAAGTCTTTCTAATCATCGTTGTGGTGGTGTTTCGTTCTCTGAGCTGGTTGTGGAGCTTTCATTGTTCTTCTGAACAACATCATCAGCATAAACTTCAGATATAAGTGAAGCATTCACCAGGACTAACACAGGAAGATCAGAAACTCGAGTATTTCGAAAGCCAACCCACACAGACGTAATTCTCAACTACGGTAGCAACAATCCAAGAACCCACGAAATCAACTGCATACAAACGTTGTTCAAGAGAGCGAAGACACTGCAGCACACATGAGGCACTAAAAACGAGGAAAAACATCTTATGACTATATTCCACGCAACTTCATCAAAAAACACCAACCAAAACCGTCAGCAGAACCGAAATCAAGTATAAGAACCAATAAACGGACCATCCTACCATACATAAAAGACATATCAGAACACACAGCACGACTACAGAAACCATGTGGAATAGGTGTGGCACACAAAACAACAGAATCACTTCAATCAATTCTATGTAGACCAAAGGACAAAATGACAAAGGAAGAAAAACCAAATATCATCTACAAAATAAATTGCTCAGCCTTTGAAAAACACTACATAAGACAAAGTGGACGTCTTCTTCATCTTCTTTTACGTGAACATCAGTTAGCGATCAAACGCCATGACAATTATGGATATACATTCGATTGGAACCATTTGGAAATACTGGATAGGAGGAGGATAAAGCACACTAGAGAATTTTTAGAAGCTTAGCACTCAGGTCAATCAGCAATCAACCCAATTTATCAACCAATCAGAAAAAACCATAGGTGCACAGGACCAAGAAACAGACCAAAGGGGGATACAATCAAAGCAAAGGTGCAAACAACAAGACAGGTTTAAGGTCAACAGCAACTAATCAAGATCGAGGTTAGCAGAACAAGCTATGCGTCAGACATGGAGAAATTCGAATACTTCACTTCTATCTGAAGTTTGTGCTGATGATGTTGTTCAGAAGAAGAATAATGAATGCTCCACAACCAAAATATCCAGCTCAGAGAACGAAACACCACCACAATCATTCACCTGAGCTACAAGTTTTCTCCACCATCTTTCTAATCATCACCTGTAAATCATTAAAATTTACAAGAAAATACAAGAAAAATACAAGAAAATAAATCCCTCATGATATAACTTAATCTAATTTTACAATGAATTAATGAAGTAACATTTGTGAATTATGTTATTGACAACTTACGTAACATGGTTCATAAACACTCATGTTAACAACAAAATCATGAACCAACTTTTCAAATGGTCCGTCGAAGAATTGTTTACACTGAATGTATGAGTAAATGTAAAAAAAAGATGAGATAACTTATAGGAATGGGTTGAAATAACTTGTAAATCATTAAATTCCATATACCTAAGTGGTACTTCTATAGTGATGAAGAGAAATTATAGATTAATTGGCTAGGTGCAGTTAGTAAGAGTATACAAGAGACTTATTGAGTGCTGTTCAACCAGTTGGCGATAACAGCTATCTACTCTAAGAATATTTCTTCAGTAGGTAATATAGGTTAGCAGGGATAGATAGCAGTTAGCCACGGGATCCAGAACCTGAGTTTTGTCCTATTTGAGCCTCGTCAGCTGGATGTATCTGTATCTAAGAGTTGATGTTTACTCCGGGACTCGAACCCAGTGCCGTTTACTTTGAACGACTATCGTATTATCCAGCTAGCAAATGAGTCCAGATACCCACCGGCTTGTGTGTTGAGGAGGGAGTGAACAATAATTGATTTATATTGGTTGTTTACTAACCACAACCCAACACTTCTGATAGTGTTTGTAATCTAAGTGTAGTATCAAGGTAATCTGTACAGGATACACATATGCTAAAGAGATCTATCGATTGCAGTCCTAAACATGAATGGGGGAAATTCAAACAACCCATACAAACAAAGTAATATATATTAGTTTAAAGTGATAGCCATCTAGGATAGTTCAAAGAGTTTAGAATCATTTCTTAGTCAGATTTAACGATCGAACTGAATTTCATTCAACAGTAGAAAATGCAACCCTGTTTTTACATGACTATAACTTTATTTTTATTCTGTAACTGTCATCTGATAAATGAAAATCTATCTAATGACATCTGTTTGCAAAAGAAACGAAACAATTTCTCCTAATTTATAATTTTTATTTCATCTACTGAAAATAATTATCAGTAGTTAAAAAATATAATAAAATTTATGGGAGTTAAACTTTTCTCAAGCTCAACTCAGATTCTAACTGTTATGTTTTCGATTCTTCAATAAAATATCAGATAATGGTTTTAAAAATAATTTTTAATAATGATTATAAAAACTAGTTTTATATGCTACCCTAAGAGTTATTACGTGTGACGATGAAATTTCAAACTCATCATATATTGTCCAAAAAAACAGTATGGGAATTGTCGGTCTGATAAAGTTATGTACAGAAATGTTGGGTTACTATCATTCCTGTTATCACCTATCGATAGAACCTTATGCAAGGAAGACGGTGCAACTTCTTTTCTGTCACTATCAGTTAATGTGATTCAAAATCAAACTACACTTATATTTTGCTGTTGTGCCTTTGAAGTGATCAAATTACGTTGACAAGCACTAATGAATTAGATGCTTTTAGTGAACGCCTACTGAATTTTTGAGAGTCAACAGTTAAATAACATGAAATAAAGGTGAAATTCACAGAAAGATGACGGCAAACCAGATGAGATAAGCAGTTTATGTGAAGAAGTCACAATCCACTAGACATAAAACCATTTGCAAAACAGTCTCATTATTGGCAGTCTTCTATACCCCAAAACATCCAGATCGCTCCATAATTGCATATCCTGCAATCAGGCCATAACTTCAGGGTGACATTCTTCTGCACATCCACTGCATACTACTTACAAGCTCAGTTGTAAATAGTATACACCACACTGGTAATACAAAATACAACTAGCAACAAGAAGAATTTACTGAAATGCTTTATTTTTATTTGTAAAACCCTATAAAAGATACAAATTTTACTTCATATTTGAAAATTTCTAGTTTAACAAGTGAATTTTCGAAAATAGCGACCTGATGTTTACTAAGAAATGCGGTCAAAACACTATGATTAACAGTCTACTTTTCTCAGCGTTGATTTGTTGAAGATAGTTTACAGGAATGTTGGAGAAAATTTGCAGCTCAGATGGATGATTGTGTTGGGGTTTCATTCTCTGAAATGGATGTTTCATTTGAGAACCTTTAATTGTTCGAATACTTCAGTTCTACCTGAAGTTTATGCCAGAGATTTTGGCCAGAAGAACTGTAGTGAATGAGAACACAGGTGGGGCAACCGAATTGTATTTATCGAAAATTACAGAGTTACTCAGTAAAATAGGAAAACAATATCGTAAATCGTTCATTTGCAAATTATCAGTTCATCATATCGAACTGGACTGTTCCTGTTGCAAAACATCAATCCATTGTCACTATTCATGCGTTTCATACAAATTCCATTGTTTTCTAACTCTTCCTTTCTTGATCTTCCCCCCATATTATGCTACCAGACTTTACGTTGACACTCACGTCATATACTACTTATAAGTAGTTCGCACCACAGCACCACAGAACAACGAAAACTCCACAACTGAAAGATCCAGTTGAGAGAACGAAACTTTACCATGAACATGAATTATTAAAGTAAACTGATATCATTTTTTATAAGATCAAATATTTAGTTGAAGTATAGCACAATAATTCTGTCTTAGACAACTAAATCAAATAATTTCAACTTTTCAATATCCAGTATTATTTAACCTCATCCTGGTACACATTTCAAAAATTTAGAATCATTGACAAAATGTAAACCTACTAGTGCACGAGGTTGTTTATATGGAATGAAATTACACAGAACATATGATAGTTCAGCTATCATTTTTCTTGCATAACCTTGCAGAAGTAACCATCGAATACCGCGAACATTCATAACACATGTTTCACAAACTTGGGAAAAGTTGAAGAAAATAAAATACACAAACATTTTTGAAGCAATCATTTTGAAGCAAACATTTCTAATCTCTAGCATATATACGAAACGTTAACTGAGAAAAATGATATCTATGTATTTTTCCGTCAGGATTACAATTAAGAATTTATTACATTGCGGAAAGCATCCAGCATGACAAGCCCTTACTTGGAACCGTCAAGTTCAGACGAAAAGAAGAAGGCCAAGGACCAGAAACAGAGACAGACATGAGAAGAATGAACAAACATTGGACAGAACTGGAAAGGAAAGTTCAGGAAGTAGTAGGTTTGAGAATAATGGTCAGCGGCCTATGCTTTATTGGCGACTAAGAGAGAGATGATTGTTACACTTTCTGAATTATCGATCAAGCAGACTTGACCTAGATGGTCACATATTTTATGTTGAATATAAGCTAGTTCTGAAGTAAGTGCAACTGATGCTGTTAACTTGATTTAGCCAAATTGTTTAGTCATGAAGCTTTCATAGTCGTTCTGATTAAAAATAAACGTTGTTTATTTCTTAATCATAAGTAAACTTCTTGGCTCAGAGAACTTAATCACGTCATTAGATAGCTATTATGTGTAAATACAAGTAGTGTTGGCTATTACAGTTTCATCATCGTGAGACGTCGTAGCTCTTTTAAATGAAGACCTTCCAAATGCTAAAGTAGAGCTTTATTAGCTCGAATTATTTTTTCTGGTTAGCGTGTTTTTGTAGGAAGTTGGTTTTCTATAGGATGGGGTTGCTAACCCCATGCCCAACCATCCTTCTTCATCTGGGCTTGGGACCAGTGTTAGTTATTTTCACAACTAATCGTAGTTATGTCAAAACTTACCAATCAAATTGTGATTTAAGCACCCACCACGTGATCTGTTCTGACGTGTCTGTAAACTTACTTTCTTTGTTGTAAATGACCTACTAATTGAAGGACATTATTATCTTATTATATTGATGTGACTCATAGTTTTATTCATTTCCATAAGACACGCTATATTGGTCGGTACGTTTGCTCGTCTTACTTGATAATTGTAATTTCCTTATTTATTGTACTAATCTAATCGTTTTTTATGTTTAGAAACAGATAAAGTTTAAAACAAATGTTGATCTTCTTCTGACTATAGCTTTCCCATAGACTCTGTGCTTGCCAATATTGCGTTTACAGTTCTAGAATTACATCTGTAGAACAAATTAATTCCTAGAGGGCCTTCAGGTGTACTTGCGATTTCAAATTAGGTTACATTTTATGGTAGCATTGTCTTTTAAGTGCTAATTATAATTACACAAGCCTATAGTCTATCAAATGTCTCAATCAATATAAAACCATAACAACTTACTTAACTGAAACTCCAGTGCTTCAAGTTCATTTTCAGACCTCTGAAATCAAAATAAAACATTAAATGAGCTCTGAAAAGTTATATTGATTGAATAAGCCCAGGTGATCATGAAAAATGACTGACATTATCAATGATATGATAAGTTTATTCTTCTATTGGACAAAGGGTTTTTTTACCTAAAAGTGACCTTCGAAATTTCTGAATTTCTGAAATCAAATTACGTCAGTCCGAATAAGGATGTTTGAGATCTAGTTTAGTGGACACAACACCAACAAGAATTTAAATATTTTGCAATAATTCTTAGTGAAATAATTATTATGACTCTGAATGTATCGAATGTTACGGCTGTTTGATCGATTAACAACTCATGAAACACAAACACAGAGACATACATACACATAGTTTGCCGACATAAAATTCATTCACTAGACATGTATATGAAATTTTAAGCCGTACAGCTATCGCAATATTTAGTAAATTATTGAAAAGTAACATCCTCACCTTGTACAATACTTAACTAAGAATATTTCATTGGTAATTTTAAACAAACAATGTATATTATTGTGAAATATCTAAAACCTAAATGATTCTAATTGAAATTGTGTATTCTTGATTGTTAGACCACCATTAGAAACCTGGAAGTTCTGGATGGCTATTGCGTCCTAGTATGGGACTCTTCAGTAGTGTGCATGCACAACCTCACTCGCAGGAGTCAAACGCATAACCTACAATCCCGTGTTTGAACGCTTAACCTCAAGATCAATGAACCGACCGGCATCCATCGGTTTAATGTCTAACTTTGATCGACCTAAGGATTTTAGTTCTAACTCACCCAATGTCTTCGGTGGTTACTGGTTAAACCCGACATAAATAAACTCGACTGGTCATGGTTTCTCACTAGAACTTTGAGAGTTACTTCATGAAACTAGTCACTAGTGAGCACATTTTATGATTTTTCACTACAGAATTATGCAGATTGTGTTGGTCAATCATCATTAGATAACCATCAGAGTCATATACCAGGACGAAACATTAGTCCAGTGCTTCCAGCTTTCTACTGATGATCTAACAATGATTGATTTTATAACTTCAATATAAAACCCAATAATCTATATACTCTATAACAAAAAGTCATAAGTGATTTTGTTGGCAACAAAATGATTTTTTCAGCAAATGATCTAAGAATATTCATATGAAGCAGTAAGCTATGATTGACCACATTATATATGTATATTTTCTTTATTGAAGTTATGGAGATTAGTGTATTTACACATTGAAATCCTCAGTCAAACATTGTTAGACCACCTTTGAAAACCTGGAAGCACTGGATGGCTGTTTCGTCCTATTATAGGACTCATAAGCAATGCGCATCCACGACTCCTGCTGGGTGGGGTCACACAAAATCCTTGGATTGCCCAGAGTTCTACATTAACACCGTTGTATACCGGACCAGTGTTCCAGAGGAAAACCGAAGGTCCTGGGTTCTAATGCTGCGCGTAGCATGGGTCGTGAATGCTCACTGCTGATGAGTCCCTTACAAATCAGGACGAAACGGACGTCCAGTGCTTCCAGGTTTCTAATGGAGGTCTAATAATGATTCATTGATGTTTTCAATGTGTAAATACATTATATTTTACTAAATTCTTGTTTCCTAATGGTTTCCAAATCGGTAAAACAGTTTATTATGCACTGATCATCCTTCGCAGTGGTAAAAACTATTTACCAATATACATTTATCATAAAAAAGTTTTTGATGATGAATTCAATTTTGAAGACAGTTTATATCATGTATTATTATAAACTGAGAAATAATTAAGAATTAAATGACATTGAATATGTGTTTACAAGTCCTCAATCTCACTTAGTATGTACCTATTTTTCAGCTACAGTTAATTTATATTTCGTGACAGTTCTTTCTATATCATCAACAGATAACCAAGATTTCATTCATAATCTATAATCGAACACTTATAAATTACCTGACGTGGTTGTGAAGATTGTTAAGTTACACATTTTTGAAACCATGAATCGATCAATGTTAGACCACCATTAGGAATCCTGGAAGCACTGGATGACCGTTTCGTCCTGGTATGGAACTCATCAGCAGTGCGCATTCACAACACCTGCGCCTCACATGATTCGGACATATAACCGTCGGTCTTGCGCACGAACACCTAACCTCTGGACCACTGAGTCGATATCTAACGGTGTTAATGTCTAACTTCGATCAGTCTGACGGAGTTGCGCAACCTCATACACTGTCTTCGGTAGTTACTGTCTACAAACAATGGTCACAACTTCCCACTAGAACTCGATGAAGATCAAACATATTATTGACAAAAAAGAAAATATTATCCCATCATTAGTAATCAATCAATCAATTAGACATACCTCAACAGCTTCTCCAAAAACTATCTCTTTTAAACCTAGAATTATTGAATAATGAAAAAAATTTGAAACATTTTTAATCATCTTACCAAATAGAAATAACAGTAGTACAATTTTAATTAACATATCAATCAATCTGTATCTGTAATAGTTTAAACAATAATAATTAATCAACCCAATGAATATAAATAATTTTTATCCTTAAAATTGTAATAACATAAAAATAATAATGAATGAATAATATTTGAAATTTTATTATTCATGATAATAAAAATAGTTTGATCTTTGAATTGCGCAAAATCATATGATTTTATTTATCTGGTACATTTAAACAAATGTTGGAACTAATAAATTTTTTTATAAGTATTTCATAGGAATCAAAGTTCATAAATTCATTATTACTATTATTATGTAATTTTGTTCAGTGTTTTGTTTTGATGTAATTGTCAAATAGTTACTATTGTTATCAGTCGACAATGAAATAAATGAACTGATCAAGGTTCAATAATTATTGTTTCAATGATTCATTCTTACCAAGTAGTGTTGTGGGTTGAAATTATGGTAATAATTTGTGAGGAATATGAGATAAGAAAGTATATCCACTTAGTGAATTAAGTATATTTTTTTTCTCTAGGAAATTTTACATAATGAAATGGTTCAGGGACTTTGTAGCTTAGGTGGATGATTGAGATGAAGTTTTGTTCTCTGAGCTGGATTTTTTCGTTGCGGAACTTTCATTATACTTCTATTGAACAACATCATCAGCACAACCTTCAGATAGAAGTAAAAGATTCGAATTTCTCAATGTTTGACCCGTAGCTTGTTCTGTTAAACTCGATCTTGGTTAGTCGTTACTGACCTTAAACGTGTCGCTGCTTGCACCTTTATTTTGAATGTATATCTCCTTGATTTGTCTCTTGATCTTATGTTTGCCTATGATCATAATCAATTAAAACACACGTAATCAATCAATGACTGTATTAAGAGGAAGCAAGTTGAGTGAACTGTTTATAAATTGGAGTTTAGTGTTAGCGAAATACTATTGAACTGGAGTCAGATTTTCGGTCAAGCTGCTGGGGACGTTGGATTCCCAGAAATTACGTGGAAAGGCGACCAATTTCGGATTTTTTTTTTATGTTTTCGCGCATAAGCTGCCTATTTGACCTTAAGATTACAATTCCAACTCGGAAAATCCTTGACTGTCATTGGTTCTAAAGGGTTTACATCAGATACTAAGGAAAACGTTCAACACAAGTTTCTTCGAATCCTTAAGAAATGTCTGAGAACCTTTCATTCCGAGAATTCAACTCACTGAAGTTGACTAAGAATGGTATGACTGATTAACTTGTGTAATTATGCATCAAATTCACACCACCAATGAAAATCTAGTCTTGCCTGCCCTAATGTAATGCGAACCTTGCATGCTTACATTGTTCAATTTGAAAAAAGGCACAACTCTAACACGTAAATGTTTTATTCAGAAACAAAATTCACAGAATAATATAAGAAGTAAATGACCTCAGTATGTTCTAGTTCTTCAGCATCCACTAATCAATCCATATTAGTTATCCGTAAACACTGAAGAGACTCAACCGACGATGTAATACAGTATAATCAATTTTTCAAGATAAGAATGCTTTCAGCTTGTGATATGCTCTCTTAAACTAATAAGAGTTCACGTTACTCGGTAAACGCAGTCAAGACAAAAGATGTAGTGACACGACAGGCTATTCCAATCCGTTTGTTCTAGCACTGGCTAACTATATCAAGAAGTCTTGATAAGGCGTAGAAAGTCTATTCTACAAGCACCAAGAAAATACGAAGTTGACAAGCACTCGAATCGAGCATATTTATACATGATAGAAACGTCCTTGGGAGAGCCACAAAAATAGCGTACTAAAATAGTCTATCAATTAATGACAAAGATTTTCCGAGTGGGAAATGTT